TTACTGAACCAGCCTCTAGTAGAGAACTATCCATATTAGATCCAAACTTGAAGGGAAAGAACCTCAGTCTGCCACACATTTGCAGCACAGAACTGCCCAGGGAACCAGAGAGCACTGAGAAAAACACCTCTGGAGAATTCCACTGTTACTTTATGAGGGAAGTGGAAAAACATCGCTGTACAAGGATTCTGCAGCAATTTTGCAGGCAGTGCAATGTCTCTTGACTCCCATTGCCTTCTCTTAGATTTTCTCAGTTTCTAAGGGCAAGATGAAACAGTTCAGGGGCAGCAGCTCTGGAGCTGCTGTGTGTGATACACAGACTGAAATTCCTTGCTCACCAGTGGTGGCTGTGGGGAAGAGGGAGAAACAAGAAGGAACTGAAGTAACTTGAGAAAGGGAAAAAACACAGGTTCAACTCCTGAACAGAACTACTGTGATATCACAGAAAATGTTACTCCATAATCTTCACATTTCATCTCCACATATGTTGACAGCTCTGTGTTTTAACAGCTCAACCAAGACTTGCAGAAGTGAGGTCCCATCTGCACCTCTTTGAATACCCTTTCTCCTACAGCCCTTCAATGGGCTTCCAAACTTTCAGGTCTCTTGTTTTGATGTCCTTTCTCATGGTCTCATCAAATTTTGTCTCATAATTGCATTTGCTCACTTGAGATTTTCCTGGCAGTGTTGTTCTGCATCTCTCCTCCTGGGACCAAGAAATTTGGTGAACCAGCAGTAAGAAAGAAGAGGGTTTTTGCACTCTATCATACCAAGAGGAAAGTCCTCATTTTCTTATACTGCTTTGAAAATTATACATACATGAGAATCTAAGAGATCTGAAAAATGTCAGGATGATAAGATGCAAACAATAGTTATTAGAAGTAGATAAAAATATTCCAAGAACTGAAATGAGGAGGGGGAGAAGGACAAAAAAAAAAAAAAAGGAAGTTCTCAAATTAAACTTGAACAAAGCTGCTCAAATTTCCTATCCTACTTTTATTCTTATAGAAAGAAGAAAAAAAGTAAGCTTGGAATCACAATGGCACCACTTTAGAGGTGCTGAGGTTGCCCTGGGAGCTGCTTCGTGCCCAAACAGCTAAGCTGTCTACCATCAATCTACTTCTGGGGTAAATAGGATACTGGCCACTGTCCCAAATTCAAGCAGCACAAACAAACAAGAAAGAAAGCTATGTTATATTTGTAAAGTGAAATAAGACCTTGCCTAGCTGGAGAGCTCTAGGGCAGCACACCGAGCCCCTGAACTTGCTGGGGACCCTTTTCCTCTCCCAGGAGGTTGCACTTGCCTTTGAACTTTCAGCCATATAGAAAAAAAAAAAAAGGCTGAGTTGAAATGTCAGCATCATCTTGGATTCAAATCAATCAGCTTGATGCATGATTGCAACAACTAAACCACTTCACCTCTGCACTGCCCTCATCCATATGTTCTTTATATCAGCAGTCAGCAGACTGGGTGGCTCAGTGGATTCATTTCCTGTCCTGGGCTTGGGCTCCAGTTTAAACAAAACAAAAAAAACCCTGAAACTGGAATATAAAAGTTAGCATCTAGTGACAGTTATATTCAGCAGACTTGTTTGCATCAAGTCTCTTTCTCCATCCAAGAAAGTTGCAAGAAACCCTTTGGGAAGGCCTGGTACAACTGGTGATTTTCAACTATCAACTCAACTAGCTGGTCACAGTTCTACAAAACCAGTGAAGGAACTGGAGACCTTTCAAGTGTTGACACACCTTTGGGTGAGGGGAAAGCAATGAAGGGAAGAGGGGAAAGCCCCAACAGTGTCAGCTTAAAAAAGGAAACAGATTGGAAACCATCCCCACCTCAGTAAATTAATAACCCTCTGAGAGCAAAATCTCCATCCACTTCTAAAGCTGGGCTTCCTCCAGATGCTGCTGCTCTTTATCAGCTCTAATGCAAGAGTTAAATTCCCAAGATAATTTAAATCTGAAAATGTGCAGCCCTCAGCATTAAAGTAGGTGCCTGCCAGCTGGTGGCAGTTAAGTGGTTGCTGTCTCAAGCTAAACTTATCAGCTGAGGATGGAGACACTTTAATAACAGAATTGCATTTCACATGTTGCTCTATCAGAGCACAGGGTGTCACTGTGGGAGGGGGGCTTTCCTTCTGAGAGTGTGTTCCAGCAAGCCAGTCCCATCAGAGGTCTGTCATACTTTGGGACTAGACATCCACACTGAACTGCTTCCTGAGCAAAGGAAAGCTGACCTGCCTTTTGGGAGATCACAAGAGAAGCATGTCAGAAATAACTGCACTGCAGCCTCTGAATGATTGCAAATTCTTTGACTTGTTTCCTCCTTGTTTGCCCTCTCCCCGTCCTGTCTTCCCTCACAAAATGCTAAAAGAAATAAATTTTCAAAGGGCAAGGAAGGCTTGATGTAAGGACAGCTAGTAAAAATAATCTGTGCTCCAGATATGCTACACTGGCTGCCCCAAAGACACTGTTTCAGAACAGCACAAAAAAAGGAGTAAATATTAACCCTGCTCCCTGGGGGTTAAAAGGAGGAATCAATAGATGTCATAGAACTCTCAAGCATCAAGATGCAAAGGCCACCATCAGTGTGAAGAAGGGACCCTGCAGCCATTCCCACACACACACAGCTCCCAGAACTCCTCTGTGCTTGATAAATGTATTACCTCCAGGCTTAGTCCATCCTACTGATGAAAATGTAACCTTGCTATTCCAGGACTCTCTGGGAAGGAAAATGTTTTCCTTCAGTCTCTGGAAACAGGAGACCTCTTGCAGAGGAAGCCCTGAGCCACTGTAGTTGCCATTCTGCTGGCACATGGAGAGCAGTGACTGCCAGAGAACTGGATTATTTGCACCACAGCAAGAAGGGGAGTTAAAAATAGTGCAGGTCCACTCTGCCTCCAGCCATACCTACCTCACATCAGCTGTACATCCAAGTGACATGAAATATTGAGAAGAAATCTAACTAAATACCAAAAAAAGTGAAGGTATTCTGAAGTTCGACCCTGCTAATTCACTGTGGCTTCACCACTGCACTGGCTTTGTTTTGTTTCAGTTTAGTTTTCTGTTTCCTGTTTCCTTGTGTCTGCTGTTTCCAGGAAGGACTCAGACAGATGTAAACATCCCACCCTCTCAGAGGAACCAACTTGTAGTAGGAGAGAGCACAGAAAGTACAAAAGGCTTTACATCAGGTTGCCAAAGAGCTCTTTTTAGCCTCTTTTATTTACATTTCCAAGTGACACTAACATTAAGAATTAGCATAAGGAGTAAGTAAATGCTTCCATTTTAGAACTGATGGACAGCTCAAGGTGCTGTGCACACCACTAGCAGCAGTATTGACACTGGAAACTAAAGTGGCACAACTCTGCTGTACTAGAAATGGGTACTTCTTTATTTTTCTCCTTATTTCAAGAGTATGGGACTGTCAGTAGCACCAGATGTTTTAGGGAGAGAAAAGAAAAAAAAAAGAAAAAGGTAAAAAGAATCTCACACATGAAAGTGAGGGCTTGCTACTGGCTTTGTGCTCACACCCCACAGACCATATCCAAGCCCAGAAGAACAGTTCCACCTTGAAAACTGACTGCATAAAATTGTCACCTCGTTCCCCAGACCTGCTCCTGTGAGATCGCTGCCGACTTGCTCCAACAAGCTTATGTTGGCTTTTTATTTCCATGGACTGTGCTGAGGCAGATCTGGCACTGCAGGAGGGAGCTGGATTCTCTCCTTTGCACCACTAAGCTGGAATTACTCACACCTGTCCAAACCCACAGGCACCAGCGGGCTCTGCTCAAGGGCCCCCCAGGTCCCTGGGCAGATCCTCTCACCCTGAGCTGCAGCTACTCTGGAAGTGACAGCTCTGCCACCACCCTTAGCTCCCCTGTCCCCTGCAGCAGCAGGTAAAACTCCAAGCTGCACACAGCAGCTTCTCTTTCTCAGGCTCACTCCTTTTAGCAGCACGTTAAAATGCAAAGCTCTCTCCTGCAGACTGCAATTTAGGGCAGCTTTGCCACTTTTTAAGGCTTTTCTTGAGCTTCTGGGAAGCTATTGTTTCCTCAGCAGCCTGGAGGGAGCTGCTGTCTGCAATCATCATTCTCTGTGACTGTAAGGAGACAATTTCCTAGCTAGAGATTTGCCCAAATTGTGTGATCAGCATTAAGATATCACAGCACAAAAAAAACCCGAGGTGCAGCTACAAACAGCAGAGTCTGAGAAGTGCTGGACACCCCAATGACCCTTCAGCTGCCAGAGACAGGCTGTGCTGACCTGATGCAAATGGACAGAAAACTCAAGGCCTAGTTCCTCCTGTTCATAAACCATGAAACCTCATGTCAGATTGAGCAGATGCTTTAATGCCTACACATGAGACTTGATGGAGAAGCAGGAATTGCTTTAAACCCCCAGAAGCAACAGTTAAAGTAGAAAACATTAGGAAGCAAAATGTAAAACATGCCCTTTTTGTCTATTATGATTAAAAAAAATAAAAATACTTTCTTTACTTCCTGCTCTGTTTTCCTCTGTGTGAAAGGAAACCCAGAAGTGTGTTTTCGCATGCTCTGTGCAACCTAAGTGTTGTACCCATAAGTCAGGGAGCAGGTGGAAAAGGAAACCAGAGGTGCTGATTTAATTCAAAGCTTTCTGGGAACACATATAATTTATGTCCAGACCTTACAGGCATAAAACTTTCAGAAGCAGCCATTCAGGGACCAGCTTTCAGCAGTTACAGCAACTGATGGTGATGACAGGGAACAGGGAGAAGATAACACAGAAACATGGAGAGAGTGCATTTTCTAAAGGACTGTGCAATGGGGATGCCAAGCACAAGCACATCTATACTCAGGTCATCCCTGAGTACCTATTTCTTCATTTCTTTCCCCCTCCCTGTTCAGGGCTGTTTGCAGACATTCAGTATGGTTTGTGTTCCAGAGCTTGCGTGTGACATTCAGATAACGATGGGAAGTGAAGAGGTGATTTGTTCCTCTGTTTGAGAGGCATAGGGCAAATTAAGGACCAAAACCCAGCTCAACCCAGCCAATCCATCCTTGCTGCTCCATAAGGACAGATGCATTGCTGGATAACTCACCCTCCTCACAGTTGCTCCCCGTGAAGCCAGGACAGCACCTCCACTCCAGCGTGGTCACAGTTCTGTAGGACATTTTGTACGTGGGTCTGATGAGAGTCCTGTAACTAACACAAACAAGGAGTCAGTGGAATGCACTTACCTACCCAAGGGTGGTGTTGCTGCTAATCCATAACACATCTTCCTGCCTGGATACATCCCCAGAGCACCCAGCCACCCCCAGCCACAAAAATAGTCACATGGAATAACAGAGCGATGTTTTACTACAGTGTGGGTCTGATTCAACTTTTATTTTCCTCCTTAAGCCCTCATGCCCTTCTGGTTCTGCCCCACACCTCCCCCCAGGTAACACCAGTGTGGCTTTGTGGAGATCTCATCACTCCCAAGGTGCTGCAGGTAGCAGAGGTGATGACTCTTTCTTGCACTCTGCCTCCACGAGGATTTCTCTGACACTGAACAAAGGCTGGCATGAGCCTTTCCTCACACAGAACTAAGAGAGCTTCCAATCTCCCTTCTCCCACCACTCTTATCTGGGGTTTGCCAACACATCAGCATGACAACAATCAGTGATCCTCGTGGAGCCTTTTTTCCAGCTGGATGACCTGTGCCTCAGTTCTCCCCATCTGAAAGAGGGTCACACTTTCCTTCACCACTGCTGAGGTTGTGCAGGACAGGTTTGGGAGCTCTGTGGCCAGCACAGCATCCCAAGGATCCCAATTACAGCACCAGCACTGCCAAGCCCCACTGGAAACTGGGGGGCTACCTGCAGACACAACAGACCTGTGCAAGGCACCAGTGGTTCTGAAGTCAACACAAAACAGAGTTGCCGAAGTGCCAGCTTTTCCTTTAAAACAGCAGCTCTTCGAAGCTGGCAAATCAGTTTTCCCAGCATACAGCCAAACAAGTCACTGCTGCTATTCATGAAGCTGAAAGCAAACACAGAAGTCGTACTCCACAAGCTCCCCTCGAAATTCCTGCCCTTAGTTAACAGCCAAAGGAATTTGGCACACACAGGGAGAGTCTGAAGCTTTGGGATTACAGTGTTGCAGGCTGCAGTTTATGCTTCTCTCGCTGAGCCAGACAGACACAAGCCCTGAGCACCCTCTCCCTGGGGAAAAATCCTCTTCCTGCAGTGCCAGCAGGAGGCTGCCCCGGGCTCAGCTGGGCACAAGGCCAGGACAGAGCCAGAGGCTGCATGAATCTCATCCCAAGTGCTCCAAGGGGAGGCAGGCACAGGTGTACATCCAGGACAGCCCTGCAGTGACGTTGGTGGTTACTCCAAGAGCAGTAACAAAGGCTTGCCAGGAGAGGCTGCCCATGTATGTCTTGGAAAGAAGGGAGCAGCTCAGTCGTGGTTAACAGAGTCTTTGGGAAACTCATTTCTCAGGAAGCTGTTGCTGCTGATTTGTGCCAGCTGCCAAACACAGAAACCACGTTCTCCCATAGGCACCAGGGAGGAGGGCTGCACGAGCTTCCTCCTGAGCACAGGGCTGCCTGCACGGGGAACGGCATCGCCCAGCGACGGGAGAGCAGCGCTGCCTCCTGAGAATGTGATATCCTCACCCCTTGAGCTGCCAGAAAGCTCACCAGTTACTGCTAATACTGCTAATAACTGGGATCCAGGCACTTGTCTAATAGGGGCTGGACAGAGCCAGCTCATCCCACCTAGTCCTTTGCACTTCTGCATCCAATGGCATTCAGGAGTTCACAGCCAGGAGCGAGTTTGAGGACTTGGCAGCACACTGACATAGGTAGACCTTCAGTGCTTTCTAACAGAGAGACCTAAGGCACAAAGACTTTGAGTGTCTTGCTGAGGGTCTCTCAGAATAGCTCTGGCAGAGCTCAGGAACTGAACCCAAGCCTCCTGACTCCAAGTCCTGGCGTTGGACTCGAGACATCTTTCCACACGTAAGCCCCGAACCATCAGTCAGGAGTTCATGGCTTTGTCACTAACACCACAGCTGGATCTGACCTTGAGATGAAAGTCTCCAGCCTTGTTACCAGTGTCCAGAGCCAGCTAGTCTCCAACCACACCGTGATTTTAAAACCATGTTTCTGCCAACACCAAGATGTTAAAGCTCTCTCAAACTTCATTATGAAGTGTGGAGAGTGGCTCGAGCCAGACTGGAATCTTGGCAGCAGTTCTGTGTCGGGGAAGTAGCTATAGTTTAATCCTCAAATGAGCAAGGACTTCTCAGGGCATGACAAACGTGGAGCTCAGCTGTCACAGTCTACCACCCACCCTGAATTTCCTGGAAGAGTTCTGATGTTTGCAGCTCTGTTCAGCATCCTGCAGTCACACATGTGAAGTGGTCCCAGCTTGCAAGCTCCAATTTGTTCTGAAGTTGCTCTGTTCTTCATAGCATCATTTTTCCCTCAGTTTTTGACATGGCACCAAGGTCTGTTGTTGCCTGTGTCATCACAACATGCAGATTTCTGACAGCTATTCCAGGAGGGGAGCAACAAAGAGAGTGCCATTAGCAAAGCATCACCACTGTCTGACACTTGAAGGAGAGGGAAAAAAACCACATGGAAAAAGGACGGGGAAGGAAGATACCTGTTAAAGATCAGAAGCCTTAGAATGAAAAAAACATGTGGAAAACACAACAGGCAGAAAAAAGGATTGGTAGCAGAATAGGGAAGCCTTTCCCTTGGATGTCACCCAAGCCACAAACACTGGCATAGAAATCTGCCAAACCACAGTAGGAGATGAGTTTAAGATGAGCCACAACCTGCACTGCTTTGCTTCCCAGAGCAAAGGATATGCTCAGCACACACAGTCCCCTTCAGCAGAAGACTTCCAAGCCCCTCACAGAGAAGCAAACCACCAGGACCTGCCACTCTGCTGCAAGAGACACATGTCATTTCCCAAAATGTTTGCTGAGGCTTCATAACAGGGTCCCAGGGAGTGGGGCAACTCCCAGGGAAGAACCCAGAAAGCTCAATCAGCAGCTGCTGCTGTTACTAGACCACAAACTAGACCTGCCTGTCCTTGGAGACTGCCTGATCCCTGTCAGACAAGCTTGTCCACATGCAATCATCATTTGGGAAGCAATGTCTCTTGCTTGTGGTCTTTAAGTGACTGCTCAGGAAATGGTAATTTGGGGAGAGAGGACTGATGAACTGATCTGGGGGTATGAAGCTGGAAGTACTGGAGAGGTCAGGACACACAGAAGGATGGCAGCCAACAAGTCTCACGCCTCAGCACACAAGGATGTGTTCCCCCCTCTCTCAAGGAAGTGTCACTGAACACAACAGCCAGACCTGACACAGGAAAGGGGAAGAGTGTCACATTCTTGGATCAAAGCCTCAGAAACCAGGTCAAAGAGCCAGGCGTGATCTCTGCCATGACCCAGGCAGGACAGGCTGTCACACACAGGAAATGCCTTCCCCCAGCCTGGATCTGCCCTGCCCTTTGACACTCACAAACAAAGCTGTTTATGCCTGAGGACCCCAGGAGAGGGAAGGCGTGAAACTCGTTTCCACACCGCAAGAGAAGGTTTTGTCCCTGCCGTTTGTGCCCCAGGAGACCTCAGCGACCTCCAGGGGCTTTTAATTCGCTTTTATTCAAGTCCCAGATTGAAAGTTTCACCATCACTTACTGGTGGGTTTCAGGATAACAAGAGGAATGAACTTGCTTATTTGACTGGCAAAGAATCTTGGATAGGGAATTATCTTGGCAAATTCCTTGGAAACCAAGGAATCCAAGGCTTTCTTTTGCCCACTACTCTCATGGCAATGAAGTCACTTACCAACCCAGTGGGTCCAACCCTGTACATATAATTGGCATACTGTCTTTCAGGGACAGTGGACCTTCATTATAACAAGTGCTACCTCTGCATTATAAGAAGTTCAGAACAAAGCTTGTGGTAGTGCCTCTAACTTTCTACCCATGCCCTGATATATAGACATGCCAAAACCCTAAAACCTCCCATAGAAAAGCAGGGTGCTCTGAAATCACATTTCAGATAAGTCAGGTGAAGTAACCATATCCTGAAGGACTTGGAAAGAAGGGAGGTTGTTAAGAGCTCAGAGAAGTTATCAGGAATATATTTGGTTCCCAACAGCACCACCCTCACTCCAGACAGACAGCCCATCATGACTATCCTCTCAAAGCCTACCAGACACTGATTACACCAGGGAGCTCCTCTGTGAACACAGATAAGACAACTTCACCTCAAAGCAGTGTCACAGCTGATGCAGGGACAAGGAGCACCTTTGCAGCTCACAGGCATGGCAGAGACCATCGCTGTGAATCAGACCTGTCCTCTTTTTTCCTGCAGCCCCAGCTCTTCCAGCTTCCCCAGCACAAAGGCAGTAGCTCCCCAGAGAAAAATGTAACCAGAGCAGTTTCAAATATGCTCCTGCAGACACTGGATAAAAAACCCTGCAGCTGCAGGAGCACTGGAGGTCATTGTACGTGTCTCCTGCCTTTGCCAAAAGGGAGGAAGAGGACTCTGTTTAGCTCTGGACATGTCTGGTTTGCACAACTTAGCCAGAGACTAAAACCCAGGAAACAAAACTTATACAGCTCCCATGCCCCACTGTAAACAGCAATAATTTACAGTCTTTCAGTCTTAAGAAGAAAAAGACTGAGGACACAGATGTTTCTATGCCACTAGAGTTCTCATCAGCTCCTGCCTCTATTAACAATCAGATCTCAGTGCTGTTGCAGAGCAGCACTGCACTTCCACCAGCGAGGAGGAAGAGTGTTCAGACAGAATGTCTGAGCGAGATCAAAAGCCCTCAGTCAGCAGCCTGAGCACAATCCCCAGAACAGGTGGCCCTCCACCTGTGCCCAGGCAGCACACACAGCCAGCCACATTGTTCCAGAGCTCAGAATGCCCCTTTGTGCTGCAGCTCTAATCCTACACTCCCAGAGCCTCCTCCCCGTTTGCAGGAGGACTGTTGATCCTACATTTATATCCCATGTGTGCATGGGAGAGCAGACAGCTTTTTCCAAGCATATTTCTCTCCAAAATGTAGAGTCGTAAGGGAATTAAACACATAAAAGAGTTTATGTGTAACAGGGCTTCAAATAGCAATCCTAATGCACTGGAATAAGCTCTGGGATTTATTATTCAATTGACTGGAAAGCAAG